GGTATCCCTCAAGCACTGCAGAAGTCTGGACGTCCCGTGAAGTCGATCCGAGCCCGACTGAAGGGCAAGGAAGGTCGACTGCGGGGCAACCTGATGGGCAAGCGTGTTGATTTCTCGGCCCGGACTGTCATTACGGGTGACCCTAATCTGGATCTGGACCAAGTTGGAGTACCTCGCTCTATAGCCATGAACTTGACCTATCCGGAACGAGGTGTGTGAATCTCTTGGCGCTCTTGCAAACGGCTGACATTATGGGTTAGTTACCCCATACAACATCTCTTATCTGCAAGAGCTTGTTCAAAACGGCCCTACCAACTATCCTGGTGCTCGATATGTCGTACGCGATACTGGAGAGCGTATTGATCTGCGGTATAATAAACGAGCGGACGCCTTCCTACAATACGGCTGGATTGTCGAACGACATCTCAAGGACGGAGAGTACGTGAAATCCTACGAGCTTGGTTTATCGATTGACACTCTCCAGCTACGTTCTGTTCAATCGTCAGCCCAGTCTGCACAAGATGAGTATGATGAGTCACCGTGTCAAATTGATGCCCTACTCGAGTATGTTTTTATCCTTGGTTATTGGAGTGTCGTTCTAACAAATATGACAGCTTTCCGACTGAACCTTTCTGTGTAAGCCGAACTTGGAACGAGACTACCAGGTTCTCACCGGGCTTTAGTACTCCCCCCTACAACGCTGATTTCGATGGTGACGAGATGAACATGCATGTGCCTCAAAGCGAGGAAACTCGTGCAGAACTGAGTCAGATCGCATGGGTGCCGCGTCAGGTATGCAGTCTTGCTATCTGGTGATAATATGCTAAACCTTGCTAGATCATCTCCCCCCAAGCTAACAAGCCTGTCATGGGTATCGTGCAAGATACACTCTGTGGCATCCGCAAGTTTACCCTTCGCGACACCTTCCTCGACTGGAAGCAGGTCCAGAACATCCTACTATGGGTCCCTGACTGGGACGGTCTCGTCCCAATCCCGACTATTCTCAAGCCCAAGCCACTTTGGACGGGCAAGCAGATCTTGGGGATGGTGATTCCCAAGGGTATCAACATCAGTCGTGGGTCTGACGACAAGAAGAACAAGTCGCATCCGGTGTTCGACGACGGCATGTTGATCGAGAACGGCGAGATCATGTACGGGACTGTGGAGAAGAAGACAGTCGGTGCGGCCCAGGGTGGATTGGTGCATGTAGTGTTCCGAGAGAAGGGTCCCGAGGCGACCAAGCAGCTTTTCAGCGGGTTGCAGATGGTGGTCAATTACTGGCTCTTCCACAACGGATTCAGCATCGGCATCGGGGACACAATTGCGGACCCGGGGACCATGTCGTTCATCACCAAGAAGATCGCCGAGTGCAAGCAGAATGTGAAGCAGATCATCGAGGATGCAAGTCAGGATCGGCTGAAGCCCCTACCGGGTATGACAATTCGGGAGTCCTTCGAGAGCATGGTTGAGCGACAGCTCAATCTGGCTCGTGACGACTCTGGACAGCACGCGCAGAAGAGTTTGAAGGAGGACAACAATGTCAAGCAGATGGTCGTTGCCGGATCAAAGGGATCTTTCATCAATATCTCGCAGATGTCCGTGTGTGTGGGTCAGCAGAGTGTGGAAGGACGACGGATTCCGTTTGGATTCCGTCACCGGACGTTGCCCCATTTTGCCAAGGATGACTTCAGTCCCGAGGCTCGTGGATTCGTCGAGAACTCGTACCTGCGCGGCCTCACTCCCCAGGAGTTCTTCTTCCACGCAATGGCTGGTCGTGAAGGTCTGATCGATACAGCCATCAAGACGGCAGAGACAGGTTACATCCAACGGCGACTTGTCAAGGCCCTCGAGGACGTTATGGTCTGCTACGACGGTACTGTGCGCAATTCTTTGGGCGACCTGATCCAGTTCGTGTACGGAGAAGACGGGATGGATGGTGCTTTCATCGAGAAGCAAAACATCGACACATTCTCTATCGACGAGGCGACGTTCGAGCACAACTATCGTGTCGATGTGACTGGCGAGAAAGGCGGGTATCTGCCTGGTGTGTTGCAGGTCGGGGTGGATGACAGCTCGTTGGAGTTGCAGGCGAAGCTGGACGAGGAGTTCGATCGGTTGAGCACTGATCGACGGATGCTACGAGGCTTTGTTTTCCCCCGCGCCGATCCGACGACGAACTTCTATCTGCCGGTCAATCTCTACCGCATCATACAAAATGCGACGCAGATCTTCCACATCGACCGGAGGAAACCGAGCGACCTCGAGCCCGCTTACATTGTGGATGCAGTGCATGGACTGGGCGAGAGGTTGATCATTGTTCGTGGCGACGATCCTTTGAGCCGCGAGGCTCAGGACAACGCGGTGCTACGGTTCCGGATGCATCTCCGTTCGACGTTTGCTTCTCGACCCGTGCTGGAGAAGCACCATCTGACGCGGGAAGCGTTCGACTGGGTGCTTGGCGAGGTGGAGTCCAAGTTCAATCAGTCGATTGCAAACCCAGGCGAGATGTGCGGGACGCTTGCTGCGCAGTCGATTGGTGAGCCGGCGACGCAGATGACGCTGAACACCTTCCATTATGCCGGTGTGTCGAGCAAGAACGTGACGCTTGGTGTACCCCGTCTGAAGGAAATCATCAATGTTGCGACCAACATCAAGACGCCCTCGCTGACAGTGTATCTGGATCCCAGCATTTCGGGTGACTCCAAGTCTGCGCAAAATGTCGCACACGAACTCGAGTATACGTCTCTGCGCACGGTGACGAGCGCGGTGGAGATCTGGTACGACCCGGATCCAAGTTCGACGATCATCGAGGAGGATGCCAGTTTCGTGGAGGACTTCTTTGCCATTCCGGATGAGGACGTGGAGGCCAAGCTGCACCTGCAGAGCCCGTGGCTGCTTCGGTTGGAGCTGAATCGGACGAAGATGGTGGGGAAGCTGACGATGCACTATGTCGCAAGCCGAATCGCGGAGAGCTTCAAGCAGGATCTGTTTGTCATCTGGAGCGAGGATAACTCGGACAAGCTGATTATCCGATGCCGAGTGCTCGGCGGTGGGGCAAAGGATGATGATGGGCTGGAGTCTGTGGAGGAGGACATCTTCCTGCGGCAGCTCGAGAACACGATGCTGAATTCGGTGAGCTTGCGCGGTGTGAAGGACATTCGCAAGGTGTTCTTGCTGGAACACGACAAGGTTGTGACGCAGGACGACGGGAGCTTGGCGCTACGGAAGAAGGCGGAATGGGTGCTAGAGACGGACGGGATCAATCTGAAGACGGTGATGTGCATCGACGGTGTGGACTACAAGCGCACGTACTCGAACAATTGCGTGGAAATCTTCGATGTGCTGGGCATCGAGGCAGCGCGAGCAGCGATCCTGAAGGAGATTCGTGGAGTCATCGAGTTCGATGGATCATACGTGAATTACCGGCATCTTGCCATTCTGTGCGATCTAATGACGCACCGGGGCTCGCTAATGGCGATCACGCGACACGGCATCAATCGGGCGGACACGGGCGCGCTGATGCGCTGCTCTTTCGAGGAGACTGTGGAGATTCTGATGGAGGCAGCTGCTGTCGGAGAGAAGGACGACTGTCATGGGATTGCGGAGAACGTGATGTTTGGGCAGATGGCGCCTATGGGGACGGGTGCTTTCGAGGTCGCGTTGGACATCGACATGCTCAAGGATGCGATTGTGGACCACCGGCTACCTGTACAGTCGCTGATGAACGTGTCGCACGACGGAGGGATGACTCCTGGCCAAGTGGCGATGACCCCGTATGACACGAATTCGCCCGTGTGGCAAGACGGCGCTTTCAAGGCCGACCAGGCAGCGTTCTCGCCGCTAGCGGTCAACGGTGCTGACGACGGCCCGAGCTCGTTCGGTGGACTTCCCGGCGGATGGGGCTCGACACCCACACATGATGGAGGAATGTCACCTGGGCCCGCTGGCTACAGTCCATCGTCGCCGAACATGTATTCTCCGACGAGCCCGGGGTATGTTCCCCAGTCGCCGTTTGGGGCCACTGCGACGTCACCGTTTTCGAGCACATCACCCTACGCAACCTCGCCCTTCTACGATCGGTCGAATGGCGGCCGGGCTGCTGCGACCAGTCCTACGTACAGTCCGACGAGTCCGATGATCAACTTGACGAGCCCGAACTACAGTCCAACGAGTCCGCGATATTCGCCGACGAGTCCGAACTTCTCCCCGACAAGTCCGCGATACAGTCCGCAGAGCCCGAGTTTCTCACCGACCAGTCCCCGGTACAGTCCGACCAGTCCAAGTTTCAGTCCGACCAGTCCGCGATGTGAGTTGTTCCTCAATGGTTGATCCCTTTTATTGACCTTGATGCCAGATTCTCCGACGAGCCCAAACCAGTCGTTGTCGCCCAAGTACTCGCCGACGTCACCACAGGCGTCGCCAACATCACCCAAGTACTCCCCGACATCGCCGACCTACTCTCCAGCATGTGAGTTGATCTTTGGTCGTTGCTTCTTATTCCTGTTACTGACAGTGCCACCAGCGCCAGCCTATTCTCCGGCATCGCCGGCGTACAGTCCGACTTCGCCGTCGTGGAGTCCGTCGAGTCCTGGGCAGGCCAATTCCACGAATCCGGCGACGAACAACGGGCGGACGCATGCGTATTCGACTTCGCCGTCGTGGGATTAGGCGTGCCACGTCCCATCCATCCTCTATCTATCTAGTTTTTGCACAACACCCGTCCATGTCATTTTGTAGATTATTCGCTTAGCATGTGTGTTCTGGATTTCGTGAGCACTGAAAGATTCGGCGTTGACAACAAGCAAGTGCCTCGTGATCCTGGGGATACGGAGAGCTTTCCAAGTTTTCTCGATCTCTCATGCAAGCAGTAGGTCGGAGGTCGCACATACATTGGTATTTGACATACAAAACGATAGGATAAACATGTCAACAAAAACAACCGGAAATTATGGGCAGGTTCGTGAGCATGGCCGACGCACATTTCAAACATCCCGGAAGCCCTAATGACGACGACGAGCAGGAGCAGCCCGCTGACGACGACCAGAGGATGGCCCGGATCCGTCGTCCACGTAGCTGACCTCGGTTTCGTGGTAGAGGAGCCCATCACGGCACTGCGCCAGGGCAGCTGGGTCGTGCGACTGCTCAGATGGCCAAACTACGGGCTGGGGAGGGTAGCTAGAAAAAGGGTAGCCAGACTGGGGATACTCCTGCTGAGGTGGGGGAGGATAGCCGGTTTGTAGATGCCCCGACTGCTGAGAATGGCCGCGCTGAAGAAACCCGGACTGCTGAGGATGACTAGGCTGGGGATATCCACCCCGTGGCGGCGGCGACTGAGAGTATCCCGCTTGGAGATCGGCGAGCTGCTGCTGATGGACACGATGGTCTACTGGCTGAGGATAACCGTGGTACGGTTGAGATGCAGGCGGCGGGTAAGGTGAATGGCCCTGTCCGGCTGGTTGCAGGTAAGGGTGAGGGTCCGCCTGGTTCGCAGAACGATTCAGATGATACTGGTGTGACTGTTGCCTAGAAGGTACCTGGTAATCTTAAGGCGACCTGGGTTCCCGCTCAGATTCAGCTCGTATGGTGTGGGTAAAGATGATGTGAACTCACTGGGAATATGGACCTTGCTCGTACGGAGAACGAGTCGGGGGTGTCGTACTACTAGTAGCGAACTTTCCGCCAATGAGATCTTGCTGAGAATTGATGTTGGGGACTCGTCGGTGGAGGGGGGCGTGCGTGAGATGCGATACATATCGCAATTCACGACCCCGCGACGCAGGCCCAGGCGGGGAAGCGAATGTTGTTGCGGCCTCTTCTGCAGTTCTGCGGAACATTTCTTCCCGATTAAGTGGTGAAGGCCGATTCGCGAGGGCCAGATCGTGAGCGTCTCTGAGAGACTGGCTTGACGACTGGCCTAGCATGAGATTCAAAGCTGAAACCGTCGTACACTAATACACACCCGATGTTCATTCCAAGCTGTTTCAGCATCTCTGAGAATCTTTTCAGCCGTGTTCATATCCAACGCTGCGCCCAGACTCTCGACAGCGTCAATGCGCCTGGACAATCTGAGCATAGGCACTCAGCCTGGAGCTCTATCCATCAAGCGAGACAAAGTAGCAACTGACTCTCTAGTGGATAGATATCCATCTTCCGCCCCGAGCCTCACGTTACTTTCCCTCGCACTGTCGTTGATTATGTTGTAAACAAAGTTTCGTGCAGTTCCGATCCAGTCTTGCGGTCGTTGCGGCTTGAGACGAGGCTTTGAGACTTTCTTCAGTAAGCTCTTCATGGCGCCACGGAAAGATCGCAGGTATGTAGAGGGAAAGTGGGAGGGATGAGTGGAGAGTCCATTGAGTGTGAGTCTTGCGCTCTTCAAGTAGATTCAATCAATGGTCGCGTGGCGCCATTGTGTGTGTCTCAAGGGCCGATGTCTCGAAGCCATCGCGGAGAGAACGATTTGGTATTTGGTAAAGGTCCCGAGGCCCGATTTGAGATTCGTCCGTCAAGAACGACTCAGCGGACGGCGAATGCGAGAATTAGATTGCAGCGACTCATGAGTGATGACAAGCGTACTTGATAAGTATAGACAGACGTCAACAACCGCACCCACAAACCGCTCGACTGACCGTGGAGCCAGATACACGTGAAACTATCGCCCCAGATCTCCGGGAGAAATTCGCCAATCTTGGCAGAATACAGTGCCCCGAGCAATGGTGGGTAGATCACCAACCTTTTCTCCTTCAGAGAGGCTATGCGCTCCGCCCACGCTATTCACCCACTTGGACGCCTTCGTGGGAACTTCCCGAGAACCACGACACATAGCCGGCAGAATTTGAGGATTTCGCTTCGTGTCACCGAGTATGTCGGACCGACTGTGCTTGTGTTTTCACATCTTGATCAGCGCGAAGAACTTGAACGCAAAGGCACTCGATGCTGTGCGGGTCTACGACGGGACGACAGTTGTCTTGAAGCGTGTGAGGACCCAGGATGCTGAATTCGCGATTCTTCATATTTTCGGGCAAACACTTCCGAAAAATCAATCCGATACGAAGAACCGCACAGTACCTCTGCTGAAGATCATACCCCTACCAGACGATGAGGCAGCTCTGGTTGTGATGCCCATGCTCCGCATTTTCGATAATCCCTTCTTTGAGTGCTTCGTCGAGGTCCTCGAAGCATTTCATCGATTTCTAGAGGTTATTTCCTTCCTCTCCAACTGCGATGGGACTCTCGGCGGGGCGTACGGACTCGTATTTATGCATTCGCGCGGTTTCGTTCACGGGTAAGATGCTACCTACTCGTCTGCATTTGCGATGCAGAGAAGCTGTAGAGATATCTGCCGCAGAAACCTGGCTGTGGACGTGCGGTCATTCATTCCTGGCGGCTGGCACCACATTCGGCAAAGCACAGAGGACGCGATGCGGAAGCCTACGGTCGTCCGATAACGATTATCGGTCGAAGGGGCCAAATATTATTTTATTGACTTTGGGGGATCCTGGTTCTACGAGGCCGGCATCGAGGATGCCGGTCACTCACGGTCTACGGTCAAGACAGATCGGCTCCGGAAATTTCAGACAAAATCTCTTACAATTCATTCAAGCTTGATATCTATCGACTGGGGAATGTCTTTAGGAATCTGATGGAGGCAAGTGCTATCCTCTTCTCACTTATTCATTCTGGTCATCACCACTGTTAGCTTTGGAACGGGGCTGAGCCGATACAGGATCTTGTTCAGCAAATGACTGAATCAAATCCAGATTTCCGGCCGACTGCTCAACAAGCCCTAGACATTCTCGAAGCGCTCTTCCCCATCTGGAAGCTGAAGAATTGGGCACCCCCTTAACCATCGTCCTCAAGCACGACTCTTCTGAACCACTTCATCCGTCGCTTGACCGCGATTTATCCCCCTCTGACAGGCTTCGGGAACTGTTCAAAGCATTTGGATTGTGAGTTCTGTTGAAAGTGTCCAGAATTTGAGTCATGGAATTATTGTGTATCTTATGTACTTATCTCTAAATAAACTTCGGATTACCGCGCCCTGAATCGATTGACTAGATCCTACGGAGATCTCCGTCCAGTAAAGGCCGATACTTTCGATCGGAGCTGGTGCCCGGTGAGTTGAAGCATGTCATTTCTCATTGCAATGGTGTGGAACACTATCTATCTCAGGAATTGATGTAATACATTTTGTTCTCGTTGAAAGTTATTCAACCCCAGAGATGTGCCTTCTCGTCCGGTGCTCCCCAGTACCGATCACCCAAGGCGCCCTTGGCGAGAATCTGGTCAATTTGCTTCAGTTCCTCTTCAGTCAAGATGATGTCGCCAGCTCCAAGGTTCTCCAGGGTACGCGACACTTTCCTGTAGACCGAATCAGCTGATCTGCGCCTGTTATGTGCACAAAATATCACTTACGATGATCCAGGAAGAGGGATGACGTTCGGGCCCAGGGCTGCAACCCAGGCAATTGAAATTTGAGCAGTGGTGACTCCACGCTTCTCCGCCACTTGATTGAGCTGCTCGACGATCTCCCCATTGTGCTTCAGAATAGCCTCATCTTTGAATCGGGTGAAGTTTTGGCGCATGTCGCCGGCTGAACAGGGATGAGGACGATCGGGATCTACGCGGCACAGCTGAGCGTACCATCGAGATCCGCAGCCGACTTGTACTTTCCAGCGATCAGACCACGTCCGAGAGGGCTGGTGGTGCTGGTGAGCTCGGGAGGAATGAACTCCAGCAGACCCGCTCACGAGTAGGCAATGACGGAAACACCGAGCTCGGCGGCGGCGGCGAGCACTTTCTTCTGGTTATGGTCGTAGGAGAAAGGGCTGATCTCGATCTCGACTGCCGCGATGGGGTGCACCTGTAACAGAGAAGCATATATGCGCACAAGAGATGGTAAGACGTACGGCATGGGCCTTGCGCAAGGTGTCTGCGTTGCACTCCGAGATACCGATATGGGAGAAGTGGCCCTCCCTAACGAGCGTGGCCAAGGTCTTCATGGTCTCTTCGATCGGACGGTGGGTGTCGACGCGTGCAGGCTCAAAGAGATCCATCTTCTTGATGGGCCCGAGCGCGCCAGCGATCTTTTCCATCTCGGAACGAAGATTCTCCTCGCTACCGAAATCGTTACTGAGCAGGCTGGCCGACAGCTTAGAGTTGTATCCTCACGAGCAGTTGGGACCTTGCATCCCAGCGGCACCTTTCACCGAGAGGAAGGTCTTGTCGGCGTAATCGGGATACTTGGCGAAGAAGCGAGAAAGCATCTGCAGGTTCCCAGTGCCGAAGTCCTGAGCGTAGAAGGAGCCTGAAATTGTTGAGCTACATGCCCAATGACCGGGCGCGACACGACGCACCGGAGTTCAGAAACGCCTTGGTTCCCGCAGGGAGCGCGTCGATTCCGGCCTTGATTGCCTCGAAGCATTGCTCGTCGGGGACGGGGTTGGGCACCCAGCTACGATGATGTCAGTGAGGATCGTTTGTCCATCGATGGGACGGCGCACGTCATGAGCATCAATCCATGCTACAGATGGAATGTTAGCACCTGAAGGCTATGCTTGCGTCGAAGGAAATTGTGGTACGCACTCCGATACGAGACACAGAGGTGCCGGCTATTTTAACTGACTGTTGGACCATGGAGGAGGAAAGGAAGTTTGGATCTGACCTGGAGAAGGCGGATGTCTGCTTTTATGACGAACGAAAAGGCGGCAAAGGGCGACGCGTCACGATCCGTGGCAAAACGGAGCATTGAACCTCAGGGCCATTGCCGCAGGGCTTCCCAAGAGGGCTCGATTGCGGTCGATGCTGACACAGGGACATGACATCATCACGAGGCGGACCTGATCCGGCACGTCTCCACGTAATCGATCTGGACATTGGGCCTCTCCGAGCAACCAGGAAGAAACCATTAGACCGATCCAGTGAGCGGTCGACCGTAGGAGAACAATCAATTCACGTCCTGATCTAACGAGCCGGCTCATGTGTTCTGAAATCGACAGCTCCGAAGATCTATCCCGCCTGTACGCGACGGCTCGTTCCCGAAACACCGATGGGCCTGGTTCGTTTGCAAATGTGACTGTCTACAGGCTCTCTCATTTATTGTCGTGGCTCACCCATAACTTCAATGGGTGCTTGTTCCATCAGGCGCCTACGCCGGATCAGACTAGCGGATGAACTTCTTTCATGTGGTAGTGCTTTCACGATCGAGATTATCTTTGCTAGTTGGAGGACCGAGTGCACACGACTTTGTGGACAGCCCAATCCCTCTTCTGGCACTCTCTCAAACAATACTTGACTTTTGCGCAAGGACACTTCATCATCTTCGGCTTTCCCTTTGCTCTGCACACGGAGCATCGGCCGGCCGCTGGATCCCGGCCTACTCTTTCGAGATACGAAACGGCAAATAGCGGAGACAGTGCCATGCGCGTCGCGTGGGGCGCGAGCTCGGCCCACCCCGATATGCCACGCAGGGCCTGTACATCCTTTCCCTTGCCACAGCTGCACAGGGGAGTGCGATCAACCTTGGTCGTGACAGGAACACACAGGCCTGCGGAGGTCCGGTACTCGCACGCATCAGTGTGTTGCCAAGTCCGGCATCGTTCGACAAGAGCGGGAAACAGCTGCTTCCAAGCCGAAAGCTCACTCGCCGGTGCAGCGATTCGGCACATCTGGCCGCTGACAAGACGTGCGAACGCTGGGGTGGTGATGATCTCTTCAGTGAGCGGAACAACATATCCATCGCACAGAATCGTGTGCGAAGAAACATCCAGACGCGCCGTGTCGATGAAGAAGACGGTGTCGCAATTTTCGGTGTCTTTTGAAATCAACGCGAAAGTTCTGGTCGACGACTGGTTCTTCTGCAGTGCGAGTGTCGTGGCAAAGATGATGTTAAGGCTTTCTTTGATGCACATAAGCGCGTCGGTTTCTTCGTGTCTCTTCCTCAAGTCACGCTCTCTGCTTGACATGGTGGTTCCCAGATGCACAGCCAAGCTCGACTTGATGTGTTTGGCGGAAGCGATCGCGGGTGACTTGTCTAGATTGATGCGATGGATGTTCCACGAACGTAGATGTCCAACGCTTCCGACTACGGCAAAGGGACTCGTCTTCAGCCCATCTTGTGTGAATGGACCAGACGGAGGAACGATGATCTTTCGAGTGTCAGTCCAGCAACGCGTTTATGAGTATCATTCCTTCACCTCAATGTAGCCCGACTTTCTGGCCAATCGCATCCTGTTCTGTGATCCAATGATGGGATACGGGAAAACGACTTGTTGGACGTGAGCGCCGATAGAAAGCCGCATCGCACATGGAGAAGGCTGCGATATGTCGGGCATCTTGCCTCCCGCAAACTCGCCTCGGGCTGCGCCGTTCTCGACTTGGACTCGCGCCGTGAACTGGCGGATCAACTCGCACTCCTCGTCCAGGTCGATCAAAACAGGATCCGCCCTCCCGATACCGAATGCAGAAGAAGCTGTCAGCGGAGACAAGCGAGGGCTAAGATAGGGATTCTGAGGCAAGATGTGGACATGCTCTTGGTCCAGTAATCCCGCTCCAAAAACAATGTGCTTCCCGAATCCGAGGTATTTGGTAAGAGTAATTGCTGACGCTGGTGTTTCTCGTACTGAAAGACAGATTTGCGTGTCCCGCGCGTTTTCCAAGTTGAGGAGGCCAGCGGAGACGGTAAACGACACGACCACAGGCGCCGTGCCTTTCCATCCAGCAGGGTCTTCTTTGAAGATGACACGCGGGCTATTCTTCGTTTCGGCGGAAATGACCGTGGCAAAGGCCGCATGTATTCCAGTGAAGATGTTGTGTGACCACTTGCCACGCGTCTCGCAATGGAGCGTCGGGGTGCCGATTTCCGCCGATATCTTCTCCAAGATCGCAAACTTGCTTCGTGGGACGACGAGGATCACTCTGACCACAAGCGGGACAGTGGTCCAGGCAGCGAAGCGGTCCTTCTTCTCTATCTGATAGAGGAACGGAGCTGTATATAAGCCGTGGAGATGGAGGTGTCCTGCCAAGTCCTGGTAATGTAATGTCGCCATCCGCAGCGTCGAATTTTCCTTGAGCTCGATAAAACGAACCATCACCTCTTGCCAGTTCGAGGGCGTAAACCGGAACCGTTCGCGAACGACTTTCAGAAAGAGGACAAAGCTCTCCCGCATGTAGTGGACCAGATTCGATGCCGCGAGTGCATTCAACATGTTCTTCTTGTCAAAATTCGCGGCCCAGAAATTCTGCGCGTCTTCTTTCTCGAACAGTGCGTGATAGATGTCGTACAGCAGTGTGCCCAGCTGACGATGGTCCCAGACAGGTGTTTCCGTTGCTCCCACAGTCGCCAGAGGATCAGCGGAGACGAGCGGTGCCCAGATCGTCGTCTGGTGAAACTGCTTTCGATTGGACAGGTCCGACTTCGGCTGTCTCTTCATGACCTCGTGCAAAATGAGCTCATGAGTGTTAGATCGAGAGGAGAACCCAGAAAGATAGTCCGAAGGACAGACACCCAGGAGAAGCCCGGCAGTGCGAATATCCGCATACAATCTGTCCGCCAACTCCTTCGTTGCGTCTGGGCCATGAGTCAACAGAGACTCGGTGTACAAGACTCCGCTGGCAGGTTTCAGCAGAGACACGGTTGCAGTGAGGATATTCAGCAGGCCGATGTGGTCGGAAAGATTGGAAGTGTCAATCACAGCGAAGGACGTCGGAGCATTCTCATTCCCATATTCCACCCGATTCAACTGCAGCAGCTGCATTTTCCATTGCGCTACAGGAATGCCGATATCAACAGCACCAGAGCTTCTGAACCCGTTGAATGCTTTGCAAAGAGCCGTCGCTTCCGCTGCAATGAATCTGATGAAGAGCGGCTTCTTCGTGTTCGCCACTGCGGCTCGAAAAGCGGCGCACCAGCCAGCAAACTGTGACTGAACGAACGTCACAAGCTGGGTTCTCGAGACCGACTTTTTGGAGCTGAACAGTGGAGCGAGGTGGAATGAACTGATGGGGTCGGTCCCGTAGTGGACATTCCAGCCCTCTCCAGCAAGCGAGTACGCAAAAGTGGGGTTCAGAAACTCAGCGACCCGCGAGGAAGTTGTTCCAGTCTTCCAATAGTATTGGAACGTTTCAGAACAGACGAAGATCGCGTCTGAGAGGAAGAGGCCTGCTGAACGAACGGGACTGATGATTGTTCCGGTAGAGTTTGACTGCGCAATGGATGAGAAGATGGCACGGATCGGCTGCAGACGGGCCTCAGGCAAGTTGACCATGCCAATGTACAACATCCAATGGCGCCGAACTTCGGCTAGAGTGTATTGTGTGCCAAAGCGGATGAACTCGCCACAGGACGATCTTGCCCAGTCCTCCAGTGTTTCTCCGACGTCGAGCAACTTCTGGCATTGCGTGGCCAGCGTTCTGTGACACTCCTCGTCAATTTTCATGTGAAAGAACATGTTCCAGACGGTGGTCATCTCGACCTCGCCCTCCGCGACAACTTTGAAGAGTAGGATGTTACGTGCTGATGAGCGGTCTTCAACTGACGGACCACATGAAGTTTGAAGTTGTACGCACCGAGCACAGCAGGATCTATATCGCAGCACGTGAAGTCCAATGGGCGTTCTAGGAACCACGTTGGTGCCAATATACAAGATGTGGGCAAGCAACTCACCAGGGCTGCCTTCGATGAAGACAGAATACAGTACGTTGCGTGGATCGCCGCATCCGAGAAGAAGGACATGCGCTGGCTCCTCCGGTGGCAAATCTCGAATGAGCGACACAGCAGCGGTGTTTCCAATGGGATAGAAAAAATATTTCCCTGGGTAAGAAAGCGGATGGGCCATGGTGGATGAGAGAGGAAGAGTCTGGCAATTTTAGACGCCCAGGAGTGGGAATTAGGTGCCGTGCGCATGATGGCTGCCTTGAGGCAATCTCAAACGGACAGAAAGACGCCCATAATCCTTCTTTTGCCACCTCGAGCTGTAGAAAACAGGTCGTGATCGGAAAGCGGAATGAACAGGAGTAGATTGCCGCCGTCTGCAGTATTCAGTCTTTTTGGTTCTAGACTCCGCCTGGCCGAGATTTGTTTGACAACAGTGGACGCCATCTCGTCGAACTCCCCGTGTTGGTCAGAGCCACGAGCCTGAGCGTTTCTACAGCACAGCCACAGTGTTATCGGGAATTTCGCCAAACACCAGTAAGTAATTCTATTCCAACTTCAAGCGCGATGCCTGTCTCTGAATGTCGGAGGGCAAGTCCTACTGAGCTGTATGCTCCGCTCTGAAAATTGAGAAAATGCGTCCTCTCTAGCTTGCATAATACATACGTAGACTGTCAAAATCCGCACGCAGACAAAATGGCTGCGACTCCGGATGACACTGAGATAGTTTGGCTGCAACTTTTACATGTTCACACAGCTTGAACCATACTGTGGAAGCCCTGCTTGGAACTTAGACTGGCTGGCGAGGGATGTCGATGTTGTGAATTACAGATAGTAGATCACTTCTACAAAGGGTGTGAGGGTCAGCGTACAGTGGATCCCCAATGATTTGCAACGTTGCAGAAATCAGAAACACCAATCGACAGTGAACCCTAAACGCCATCGGTGATGCTCCTGCGTTAGGAAGTCGCTGACACAAGCCAATTGAGATCAATGAATGCGGCCATTCGTGGCACTGTTTCCATTCGACGTATGAACATGGGACGGTTTTGTCGGTGTGTTCAGCCGATAGAAATCTTCGACGTCGTCATCGTCCCCTTGCGCAAGATCCACATCCAACGGCACAGAGCCAGCACGGATCGACAATGCACGTGGGCGATTCATGACAAGGCTATGATATGTGCCTTGTCGGAGATGGAGTGCGTACGAGTATATGAGGATAGCCAGATAGATCTTGATGGAATGATGAGAACGACCTTACAGGAACATTCGAGGCGCACCTTGGCTAACCATGCCAGCAGTATCACGACGGCCGAGGTACCCTTCTCCTGGTTCCAGATTAACTGCGCTGCCTGCGTTCGCTCGCCGTCTGTCAGGACCGCCTCCGTGAGGTTCGCAATGGCGATCAAGTCCGCTTGGGCTTGAGAATTGGCTTGACGGGCGCCGTCATGGGGTATATACCACCACCATTGCATTGCAAAGAAAGCGGTCCATAGCGTCGAGAGGATGTGGTCGCCACAGAACAGATGGGCGTAGTACAACGTCTGCCGAGGATCCTCCTGCCAAAAAGGGTTGGCTGCTGACACACGTGCTATAAAACGAGGACGCTCACTTGCTTGACCACACCAAGTCCCCATGCTAGTGCCACCAAACCCAGAACGGAGTAGAGATATAAGCTCAATTGAGCAAAGGAGCCGCCGGCTCCTGTGAGCAGAGCGATGAGACCATAAACGCCTGCAACTTTGTTGAAGATCTATGTAGCAAATAGTCGGCGGAGAAGAATGACCACAAAGGAGAGAGACCTACGGCACAAAGAGTGGCAATCACAACGCCGGTTTTGATATCTAATATTCCGAGGAAGGAGGATAGAGGCCAAGGACGGTACTCTGAACGGAGAGTGAGCTTCATGAAGAGATGACGGGTGGCTGACGATCAAAATCGCGTTGTCGTTTGTTGACAGGCTACATCACGCGTTGTTTATCCTCAACCCCCTCCTCGAATCCCGCCCAGGCGCCTAATCCTTTGAATTCTCGCCATATGCCATGGCTACGAAACGCAATAGATCAAATCCGCTCTTATCAACCAACCCTCTCACTGCAGCGCCCGCGAAGAAGACGAAGAAAGATACCGCCAAACGGAAATGTGCGCTGGGACCTCGGCGCGTGGGATACTCATTGTTGACGCTTTGATAGTACACGAAGACGGACCGGGAGGCCTGTTAATTGTTCGCGCTCCGAATCTTGACGCGCAGCCACGTACGGCCTCCCAGCCTAAAGCGGGTCCAAGCAACCCCCCACCTGCGAAAAAGTTCAAAGCTGGGTCTGCTGATCCGCGCGGGTACTCGGTAGACCCTGTTGTGGAGAGGGATGTACGCGCGATGAATGACGAGGCGGATTCTCTGAGGCGCCGGGCACTAACCAATACCAGCGGGGGTGGCTCATCGTCCATGTCATTTCAATCTTCGCCGGTGAAGAAGGGCAAGGGCAAGAGGAGGAATGCGACGGTTGAAGTCTTAGAGCCCCTCATGGATGGCACACCTCAGGCCAAGAGGAATAAGAGCTTGCGTGAGGGCGCCATGGCTGCAATCGCACGCGAGCGAGAGGAGGAAGAGGACAATAGCAGGAGGAAAGGCCATTCACGACGCTCTTCGACCGGAGGACGTGGCAAACGGATAAGCAACTCGTTTCAATTTGGGACGATTGGTGAGTTTATTAGATCTTCGTATCCGCGTGGTCTGAATCATCTAGCATTACCGCATCCTCGGGTTACCGATGACAGTTTCTATAAGCACATCGACCGCGACATTCCTGATGGCGACCAAGCGCTTCAGCTCCTGGTATGGAGCACTTCACGGGTCGACTTCGCGTCGTCAACACCACCTCTTCCCCCTGAAGAAGAAGACATATTCAAGCGGGCCTCGGAGCAAATGATCACTCACCTTGCGTCCCAATGGAGAGGACTGTCACTCGCAGATGAGGGTGAAGGGATGGATTCGATCAAAGGCACCAATGCACAGAACGAGAAGAACAAGGAACGTGCTGTGCTCTATTCGAACGAAGTTCAGCAGTCAGTGTTTTGGTACTATCTTCATCCACAGAGAAGCCCTAATAGAGAGTCAGGGCGGAAAGCGAGGACAGTGAATGGCGCAAGGTCATCCACTTACATGAAAGCATGAAAGCGAAAGATCGCAAACAGTTGGAAGAGTGGCGTCTATCCCGAGATAGCCAGATCGACGAACGCCAACTGTCTGATCGTCTCCGCGCGGGCCTCCATCTCGCGCGGGCTGCTCCCGGTCCGAACCTTGATAATACGACCGCGAGGCTTAACGAAATGCGCTGGAAGCTGGACGTGTTGCACACTAATCTGAGCGGAGCGAGGACGGCAGCGCGTGCTGCCGGGAGATTACTCGACGAGCGATTCGAGATGCTCGACGGTGAGCTCGCTGCCCGGGCCGGAGTTGGAAGTCGTGTCGACGGGAGCTCTGCATCCGGTACAGCTCTCGTTGAGCCCCGAGTAGCCGCCGCCGAAACTCGCAGCCTTTTCCGAGCGCTTTCGCGCGTCGACTCGGATCGTCCGCCGGCTCAGGTCGGGGATGCAGCTCGCAAGGCTGCGCGTGAAGTACAGCGGGCCACGGCTTCGTCCGGAGAACGAGAGCGGAGGGTGACATTGATGCCCGGTGGTCCACCAGGGACACCGAAGCGGCCTGGGACGCCACGGAGAGACAGGACACCTGGAACCCCAAGGAGAGATCGGACACCGAGTGGAATGTAGGCTTGTACTTTGGGTTTGTAAAATTCGCATCTGCTTTCGATACACTTATGTATACATATCTATGTATCTCTCTTGTACCTGTTCTCTTTTCCTTCGGTAAATTCTTTTCGTGACATTGCGCGACTTGCTGTTTCTGATCCCTGATTTGCAGTGCGTTCACGTCAAAGCTACCCCCCTTCTCCCCTTTGTTTTCCATCCCCAACGGTCCATCTTCTTCCCTACCTAAGGAGATGATGTGTAAGCATCAGTGTGCGCCAGGGTCCGTGCGACATCCTACACTGCTTCCATGGATCGCAGCGCTTGCCGATGGATGGCGAGGCTTGCGAAGAAATTGATGCGGCGGGCAGATGGGTAAACCTCACTGACTGTAATTTCGCCGCTGCTATCCTTTGGTACGGCTCTCGATGTTTGCTTTCATCCACGGTGGATCACGAATCCATGATACAGCCCGCGTTGCTCTTCTGCTCTTAATGGTGGTCCACGATCAGTCTCTGTCTGGGATATTACTTTCGAAATCGAGGTCGACAGGATTTGCCTTGCAGCATCCCTCGCAGTGTCCCAATGAATTTCGTCATCGTTCAAGGGTTTCATTGGGGATCTGGCTCATGGACACGAACTTGCTTTCTACGTGCATATATTCAAATTGCCCGAACGGAGGACGGTAGCTCCTGAAGCTCTCTTTATGACGTTGCTGCACAGTGCACTCGAAAGACCCGGTGGACGTTTTGGGAGCTGGAAGGTATTCGCTTACTCGAGGCCACTATGGAACGATTCCATTGAGCCCATTTTATCACCAGCCCCTTGATATCTGTCCATTCGACCGAGTATCCCTGCGAATCCCGCTTCAAGATGCAACAATGACGAAGATCGTCGTCGGAAGTTGCCTTCAATTACTTCCGCTGCAGTTCTATGTATATTCGGCTATGCAATCCATCCATCCAGAACATTTGCGACCTGTGCGGATCAGGAGCAGCTCGCTGTGTAGCCACCGCCTTTTAAGTGGAAAACGCCGCAGCGGGATACCATATCCACGACATAATTTCGGGTAGGCGCGAGGGCGGTTGGATGAATGGCAGACATCGATCCTGCTCATCTACTAGACCATGCTTATGAGTCCTTCGATCTATTTTCGCTTTCGGTCTGGATAGCTTCCGGTGTGACATTCAAGAGTCCATCACGGTTGGAAGCGGCCAGCCTGACCGATTCTACACTGCCCATGGACGGATGCCGCCACTGCAGTTGCTCCGAGACCTTCATTTACCTCGCATGCTCCCTGATCTCCGCGTTGACGATGCGAAAAGATTGAGTAGACCCACTGCATGGGCGACCATTTCGGCCCTCAACAAAGTCATTCTGGGGTCGTCTCATGAAACGACCCTGGGTGTTCGCGAAGACATCGATATCACCCTGGCGATGCATGAACCAGTCTCTCGAGAATCAAAACACCTTCGGCGTGATCCAGCGACATTTCCCAGAACAACGGTGTCGCTCGAGAAGAACGAAGCCTGTGGATGGACATCAAGGAGGTGCAGATGGATAGGATGGTGAGGTCTGTCGTCCTGTCTCAGAACGCCCATCAATCAGCCGCTCCCCATCGCCGACGCGCTGATCTGTCTTTCATTCCGAAACGCGCCGATCATAGCCAACATACCGGCTTCGGCCATGTTGTATTCATCAATGAGCGCCGAGTGCCGAGCGCTCATGGATCAAAGGCACATTTTGCGCCAGCGTCCACAATAAACTTTGTCGATCCCCTATGTCGGAACACATCCCAATTTGCGATCGGGCTGACCCATCCCACTATAACTGAATTGTTTGCGAGTGTGAAATGCCTCTCCATTTTACGGTCTGTGAGGATCATTGCTGGGCATCGTGACTGGACAGTACTCTGATCCTGGACTCAACATGTCATCCTGGAACCAAGAGCAGTGACCACGAACACTCTCTTTACCGAAGTGGAAACCGGACATTCGTCGAATATCCCTCTTCAAGTTATAATTAGCCCGGCCAAGCTTCAAATTTCACGCTTTGACCGTGTGATTGACATCGTTCGGGCTTTTGGTCACAAGTCACGGTAATGCTGAGTCATTCTGCGGCGATGATACACACAATCAGAACTTCTGAAGTGACACCCGTCTGCTCAGGGTCGACAAATCCAGATGCCATGTCAGCATGTCCCTGCCACCAAATGCCTGCAAATCACGGTGGATTTCTCGCTGTTGCGTTGCATTATGCAGCAGTTTTCCCTATCATCATCAGCCTACAGAGAGTATCGCACACAAGCGCAGGCTCAGAGTCGGCGATGTCGGCCTCTGTCCAGAACAAGGGAAGATCGATTGTTGGCGGGGGGGCGTTCGATCGTTGCCACTTGGCATCGAGGACATGTGCACTCGTGGACGATCGAGATCCGTTACCTCCTGCCAAAATGAGCGCTCCGCTAGGCTCCGCTAGCGACGATTGACAGCCCCGCGTTAATGGCGCACCTATAAAGCCAGGTCAGTAGTGCAGGGGAATCCCTCACCAAAATTTCCTTTCTTCCCTTCTTCACTATGTTCTCCTCTGCTTTTATTTTTGCCCTCCTGCCAGCTGCGTTGGCCATGCCTCAATACGGCGGGTACGGAGGCTCGAATGCCGATGCTAGCGTCTCCGCTGCGGCACCTTCGTCCACCGCCTCTGCCGCCGGTCCCATCCACACCATCGACGTTGGTCTCGGTGGACTCGCGTTCTCGCCCTCGAACATCTCCGCCGCCGTCGGCGACACGGTTGTCTTGTGCGCATCTCTCGCTTCGTCCTTCGTGTTTGCGTTGGCTGATGTGCCATGCGCTTTTCTGTAGCGTCTTCCACGCGAAGAATCATACCGCCACGCAATCGAGCTTTGCTTCTCCATGCCAGCCCTTGGCTGCCGCAGCGGGTGCTCCGGCACCGTTCGACTCTGGCTTGTGAGCCACCTGTTTGTCTGTCCTCGGTTCCTCTGTTGATCTTCGCGACAGCATGCCCGTTAATGCTAGCTTGACGTCTGGCTTCCCAACCTACAACTACACTGTTGTAGACACTAAACCCGTATGGGCGTACTGCAAGCGTGAGTCTTCTCAGTCGTCGTGGTCCCGGAATTCTGTTTACTGATCGTCGTCCTTCAGAGGCCGGTCCCCCAGCCCACTGCGAGGCTGGTATGGTCTTCTCCATCAACGCCAATGAGACCAGTGCCAACAACTTTGCTGCGTACCAGGCAAAGGCCAAGGGTGGAGCCTCTGCGACCAATGCATCCGCATCTGCATCAGGATCCGCACCTGCTGCTTCGAAGACCGGCGGTGCCGCCGAAAACACGAAGCTCTCAGTCGCTGCCGTCCTCGGTGGTGTCGCTTTACTCGCTTCCCTTCTTTAATCGTTCGTGGCTATCGACTAGTACACGTCTGGAATTACATTATCTTAGTCCGATTCGAACAGGCCCAGATCCTGGTTGCCAGTCATCAGAATAATGAAACGCGATCATTCGAGACGCACTGACCTTGTCAACCAATCTCCGAGCGATGGGATGAAACGAGTGTTTGTTGGCGGACCAGATCTCCATAGCCATCTCGGGATCAATTCTGTGGACAGATCGCAAGACGGGGCGACAGAACTTCATGCGCCCTTTGATCACACCAGTACCGTCTGCCCCAATTACCCAATTCGCAGCCGCCTTCACGTAGTACAATGCAGCTTCTGGCGTCGCCGGCGACAGTGCCAAGCCGTAGAAACGTAATCGAATCTCGGCGTTCGGGGTCTCTGCCAGACCGTAGACAGTGCCGATCTGGATGATGTGCTCCTTGGACAAGGGAGCAAGACCTTGGAGACGCTCCAGGAAAACAATTTTCTGCGTCGAGCTGAAGCCTCCCAGGTCGGCTTGGACGAACTGCGACAGATCGTCTGATGCAGCCCATCTGTCGGCTAATGCGTATGCAGCCTGGGCAAGCGTCTGATCAAACGTGAGCTCGACGGGCAGTTTTGTTCCTTCGCCGTTGAGCCAGGCCTAGTGGAAAACTGTCAGCATGATGCTCAAGCAAGCCCGAACGACATACATCCCAGTCCACGGTGTCAAGCAATTCGATCTTGTCCCCTTGCTTCGCGAAAAATCCGTATAGGTGATCCTTCCATTGCTCAGTCGTGATGCTGGAACCAATAAATGTGGACACGTAGTCCTTGACATATGGCAGAAAGACGTCCAAGCCGCCCAGCGTTTGTTCTGTCGACGGCTATCAACCTGCTGAGCAATGCGACGAGCTGTTTGATCCCTCACCGAGATGCAGAAGCAGTGTGGCCCCTTTATCATACGGGACGCGCGAGTATGAGTCATCTGGATCTTCACCCCTCGTGAACGGAATCACGAGTCGCTGGTAACGTGGTTGGTCTTGATGGAGCTTGAGATCGTCTGCGAGGGCTTTCGCGCCAATGATATATGAGAAGCCCCGTGCTGCCGGCGACTTATGGATGTATTGCAGGAGCAAACGCTCCATCCAGACTGTCCAGCCCTCATTCAGCCAGAAATGCGAAGCGTGCGCGTGTCTGAGAAAGCGGTGAGGTGCAGTGGGAAACAGGAGACAGGAGGACAGTCATACGTCACTCCGTTGCCGAACCACGAATGGGCAAGTTCGTGAGCGACAACATCGACGAGTGTGCGGTCTCCGGCTAGGAGTGCTACAGAGCGGGATTAGACGAGCGACAAAAGGGGGCCGAGTTTGCTTGCTCGGGGTCAGGAACGTAAGGCACGCGTTTTCCTGGGGAACAATGAGGGTGGATCAGGCGGGTAGACAAAGCAGACACACCATTCCGCCATAAGGAAAAGACGGCGGAAGGACAAGCAGATCGAAAACACCAAATTTGTAGGGCACCACAATATCCTCGGCGGTCGCGATGAATCTGCAATGGCGTTCGGAAAGTGCCAGATGTGGTTGCCAATGGCTGTTACCCACTTGGCCGTGTGCTCACTGAATTCCCAAAAAGACGCGTCCATAAGTTCTGGCTCGGCCCAAACACCGCTGGTCCATGCCCGTTCAGGCAGCGACGCAAAAGGGCGGTAGCGCACGTTGCCGCTGGCGATGGCGATCAGGTAGGAAGGAATGGGTACGGGCTGAGTCATAGTCAGTCAGCCGGCTAACACGGAGGAAAGGATGCCAGGTGAAAGATACCTGGCTGTATCTGTAGGTCACAGCATCCTCTCCGATGACTTTTCCGTCATGTGCTGGGCCGTCCGATGGTGGAGAGACGCGGATTGCAGAAAGAAGAACAGGCAGGACCGCAGTCACCTCGGCTGCATAGGTCTTTTCAAGGATTCATAAACAATTGGGTCGGGAATCGAGTTTCGCGGCGTACAATTTTCACCGAGGGCGTATCCTGCACAGGAAGAAGTGCACGAGCGTAGATGGGCTGACATTGACTGAAGAGGTACGGGAACTGCTTCCCCTGTGTTTGTCTGCGCGTTCAAAAAGGCTTTAGGGACAAGATTCCATAGCGAACAGATAGCCCCGCACTCTGGATCCAGCCATTGCAGCGCTGTGTTTTCGGGCGACGTCTTGTATGCGATGGAGACCTCGATTTTGGCACCCGGTCTCAATCCAGAGGGGAGAAGAACGTGAAGCGCTGAGCCCATCACCGAGTGCTTGGGTTTGAGGTTGTACTGAGACTCTGGATCATGCCCATGTCGGACAAAAGATGAGCTGGGCTCACAGTGGCGGAGTCTCCGTTGACTGCAACTTGAGAGATCTCAAGATCACTGGTATCGAAGCTTCGAAGGAATGGTGTTGGATAAATATGTTTGCGGGTTTGCTCGAAAAAGCGCGCACATTGCCTCCGATACATTGTCACCGAGCACATTCATGCGATGTGTGACGGAACCAGCGATAATCTGGGTCTTGAAGTCTACATTCCAGAAGATCGAGACATGTTCTGACGAGACGTCTTGGTAGTTGGACTCGGTGGTGGGGTCCAAATCTGACATGGTCGAGGTCAAGTGAGAAAGCGGGCTCATCGATCGGGTCAAAAGGCAGATAAGATGCGATCAGTCTTCTCTTAGCATGTGACGGCGCCTCGCTGACGTGGGGATCAACACGTCAGCGCGTTGAAAACTTTTTCCCTCGTCGGCTTGTGACGTTCTTCCACTCCCTCTTCTTCCTCCTTCCACTTTCCCAAGTCTCTTCCCTTCTAAGTGGACATCTTCCCCTCTCACTATGCACCGCGTCTCATCCACCTCGACTCGTTCCATGCGTCGCGCGGCGGCCCGCGCTCAAGCTTCATTGACGCGCGGAGCACACAAGGAGATTAAGTTCTCCAACGACGGACGTGCGAGCATCCTCAAGGGTGTTGACGTCCTGGCGAATGCTGTGCAAGTGACGCTTGGCCCCAAAGGTGCGTGTCGTGGGTGGCTAGGATATCCGCTGCTGACCGCAAGCTCTCACAGGCCGAAACGTCATCATTGAACAGTCGTTCGGCGGGCCGAAGATTACCAAGGGCGAGTTGAAGCTTTGTCATCGTCTACTAGTGACTGACCCCTTGTTTTCAATCCAGACGGTGTCACCGTTGCGAAGGCTATCACCCTCAAAGACAAGTTCGAGAACCTCGGTGCTCGGTAAGCTTTGCTCATACACCCGCCGCTCGCGTTATGCTTGAAGGCGCAACATTAAGACACGCTGTGCTGACACTATCTCCAGTCTCGTGCAGGATGTCGCTTCTAAGACGAACGAGATTGCCGGTGACGGTACCACGACCGCCACGGTTCTTGCTCGTGCTATCTATTCTGAGGGTGTGAAGAACGTTGCCGCCGGCTGCAACCCAATGGACCTGCGTCGCGGTGCCCAGGCTGCTGTGGAACGTGTCGTGCAATTCCTCTCTTCGCAAACGAAGACGATCACCACCACAGCAGAGATTGCTCAGGTCGCAACTATATCTGCGAATGGCGATACCCACGTCGGCAACCTCATCGCGCAGGCCATGGAGAAGGTCGGTAAGGAGGGTGTCATCACGGTGAAGGAGGGCCGCACGATCGAGGACGAGATTGAGATTACGGAGGGAATGCGGTTCGACCGTGGCTACATCAGCCCGTACTTCATTACGGATGTGAAGGCCCAAAAGGTCGAGATGGAGAAGCCCTTCATCTTGCTCAGCGAGAAGAAGATCTCCCTTCTGCAAGACTTGCTTCCCACTCTCGAGTTGGCTGCCCAAGCCCGTCGGCCGTTGGTGATCATTGCCGAAGATCTCGACGGCGAGGCACTTGCTGCCTGCATCCTCAACAAACTCCGCGGTCAGTTGCAGGTCGTTGCCGTTAAGGCCCCGGGCTTCGGCGACAACCGCAAGTCCATCCTCGGCGACCTTGCCATCCTTACCGGTGGAACTGTCTTCAGCGACGAGATCGACGTCAAGCTCGAGCATGCGACCGTTGATATGCTCGGAACCACCGGAAGCATCACTATCACAAAAGAGGACACCATCGTACTCAACGGTGACGGCTCGAAGGACGCTATCGCTGCTCGGTGCGAGCAGATCCGGTCGCTCATTGCTGATGTGACAACGAGCGAATTCGACCGCAGCAAGCTGCAGGAACGTCTGGCCAAGCTGTCGGGTGGAGTGGCTGTGATCAAGGTCGGAGGGCACAGCGAGGTCGAGGTCGGTGAGAAGAAAGATCGGTATGATGATGCGCTGAACGCGACTCGTGCTGCCGTCGAGGAGGGAATTCTTCCCGGAGGCGGTGTGGCCTTGCTCAAAGCCTCGATGCTGCTGGCAACCTCATCGCCTGGCGCGGCTTCTTCCGGCTCGGTCACGTCGCCGGACGCAAAACCGATTGCTACAAGCAACTTCGACCAGGAGCTCGGTGTGGCTATCGTTCGTCGGGCGATCACTGCCCCTGCCCGGGCCATCCTGGTCAACGCTGGGGAGGAGTCAAGTGTGATCGTTGGTACTTTGATGCAGCAATATGGGTCAGCTGAAAAGTTCTCTTGGGGCTACGACGCTAGCAAGGGGGAGTTCGTCGACATGGTCAAAGCTGGTATCGTCGATCCATTCAAGGTCGTGCGGACCGCCCTACTTGACGCTTCCGGTGTTGCCAGCTTATTGACAACTAGCGAGTGCTCTATTGTTGATGCACCTGAGGAGGATAAGCCAGCACCCGGCATGGGTGGAATGGGTGGAATGGGCGGAATGGGCGGAATGGGTGGTTTCTAGACTAGAAACCATGCCATAGAGAAAAGTATCACATCTTATCACGTCCTATAGTCACTCGCATATCTTCACTGTCATCTTCTGTTATCTCAATGCACATCCCCACTCACTTGGAATAGCGGTTCAACGCATGCTTTCTAGCAGGTGCAGCTAACATGGGCCCCCTGCTACTCCCTAGTAGGACACTTTTCAAGATGGCACAACCAAATTGGCTGTTAGAGCGTTGATTTGCACTATACTGGTGGAAAACATTGGGGATGGACAGTCGGATTCGTATTGCATTTCTGAATTACATAGAGACCAAGAAAGTAATCTAATAGCGCATATGACCTCCATTAGCCTCCAATACAGCTGATACACGGTCCTGCATTGTGGCTGTGTACTTCTCAATGTCCCTATGCCACAAATTTTCCCACTCCTCGAAAATGGCCAATTTGAGAGTTTCAAAAGAGGATGGAAGGGGATTACAGGCTTGAACTCTCTTCTTGAGCTCATGCCAGCAAGGCGCAATGGGGCTGGAGGATGTGGGAAAATGGGGATCTTGCGCCTCTTGAGCCACTGTTGGGTTGACTTGGCTGTGTGGCAAGATCACCCCAGAGACCTTCAGATCCTTACATAAACATGCTTCCAGGCCCCCTCTAGAGGCCATCAAACAACCCCCTGGAAGCATTGATCAGAGGCAATCAGTGGAGGCACCTTCCTAATTGGTAACTACTGGCTATTCATCCACCTGTGACAATCAACACAGAATACGATCAAAAAGACAAGTCAATTCCAAGACTGGAGAATACAACACAATAGCTACTGTATTTATACAAAGTCCAGTCTGAGTCTTATCTACATCAAACAAGTCATCTGACTATGTACCGTGTGGAGCCTTGGTCATGGGTTGTAGTATAGACTTCTGGAGCACATGCTGCGTGACCTCTTGTACAGATAACCCTCTTGAACCCTAAACCCAGATCATGTGGTGCCGTGATCCATGATAAGATAGTCCCATGTCAATGATAAGATAAGGTGATCAATGGAATGATTGTGAAAAATGATTGAATCATGACATTACCCCCTCTCTAGGGTCGATGTCCTCATTGACAGGGTCAATCGGTGTGAAGACGTTGTTGTAGGGGTTGAAAAGTTGTCGTCGGGGATATGGAAGTCGCTCATCCTCGGGTATGTAGCAATGGATGAGGTAATCCCAGTGGCCAGCTCGGAGTATTGGCACAGCGCAAATGCGGGTGTCTGGATTAGATTGTTTTTTCTCCCAAGCTGCCAAGACCTTCTTTGCATGGGTTAGGTGACGTGATGGTTCCCAGGTGTTTTCGCTGTGCGGCCATCCCTTCCATTTGACCAAGTATTGTTTCCCTCGGCCAAGGTTTTGCTCTTTCATGATCTCTTCGACTTCCCACTCTTTGGCTCCTCCAATCATCTTTGCCACGGGTCTCTTCTCTTGGCGATGGGGGGATGGTTTGTGATAGGGTGTCAACAGGGACTCATTGAACACCGGGTGTCTCCAGTCCGTATCTGGCAGATCCAGTTTCCATGCGGCTGCTCCAACCTTCTCCAGTATCTCGTATGGCCCCAATCTCTTGTCGCTCATCTTCTTTGATGGTCTATCTGTCTCGATATTTCCTCCTTCCATGTACACCTTCATCCCAACCTTCAACTCCGGAACTTCTCTTCTTTGATTATCGTAGTATTTTTGCATTTTTTCTTTTGCTTTTTCTAATGCTGTTTTTGCTTTGTCTTGTATTTCTTTGATTCTTTTTGCAAATTCCTCCGCTGACTCATTCCTCGATTCCATCCTCTGCTCTACTCCTTTCCATGGGTGATATCTGTGGTTTGCATAAAATGGCAATACTTTGGTGGACATGTTCATTTTGTCGTTATATGTGAACTCTGCCATTCCCAGCCACTCTGACCAATCCATCTGATGGTAATTGACATAGATGCGGAGATAATGCTCGATCTCCTGATTCATGTGTTCCGTCTGCCCATCTGTGATTGGGTGGTATGCGGTCCCAGGGTTCATCTCCACCCCCAACATCCGATTCGTTTCCATCATGAAGCCCTTGATGTACCGTGCATCCCTGTTGATGATCTTGCGAGGCATTCCATGAGAGCAGAAGATCCGGTCCCGAGTTAGCTGTGCTACTCCTTTGCTAGTGATGTCAGTACTGATTGGTTCTGCATGAATTATTTTTGTGAGGGTGTCACACCACACATGAATTGCATCATACCCATTGCTAACTGGTAGAGGTCCGATTTGATCCATTGAGATGATTTCCCATAGAGCACTTGGTACCGCATGTGGATGCAGAGTTCCTGTCCTTGCCCTCTTGGTCTTCGTCTGTTGGCACGCCTTGCATGTCTGGATGTATTTTCGGATCTGATTTCCTATCCTTGGCCACCAATAATTCCTTTCCACCATTTCCTGCGTCCGGTTGATCCCTTGTAACAATCAACCCAAAAACAAAGTCAAAAAGAGAAGTGAATTCAAAGACTGGAGAATACAACCAAGTAGCTACAGTATTTATACCCAAATCCAGTCTGAGTCATATCTACAACTAATGAGTCATAAGGCTATGTACCGCATGGAGCACTGGTCATGGGTTGTAGTAGAACCTTCCGGAGCATATGTTGCGCAGCCTTGAATCAATAAAGATAATCTCTGGAACCCCTAGCCCGGACCATCTGATGCCGTGATCCGTGATAAGATAAGTCGTGCCAAGATAAGATGAGATCGTCGATGATAAGATGAAAAAGTGGCCGAACTATGACATTACCCCCTCTCTAGGGTCGATGTCCTCATTGACTAGGCCAATGGTGTAAGGGCAACTCCTGCCAGCCCGAAGGAAGAGAGCACACAGCACACAACAACCTCACATGAGTCTGAGCACAGAGGGGGATCCTTAGAGACTATCAAATACAAGGGAGGTATACTACTCACCTGAGCACAGAGGGGGATCCTTAGAGAACGGTTCAAGGATCCATGTGCCCAGGTGTCACACTATATAGTCAGCTGTGACAAGTGACTGATGATGATGGGATATCACTGCCATGGAACAATGGCAGATGACAAGTAGATAATGACAAACCCAGATAAGATAGTGAGTGGCTCAGAGGGGCCAGTGACGGCCAGCTCCTGAGACACCAACAGTGGAAGGCCACACTGGAGGAGCCCAGTGGCCAGGCCAGTGCCGGGCCAGCCAGTGGAGGCATCGGAGGCGAGGACCAATGCCCGACTGGGAAGAGGGGTGGTGCGGATGAGCGCAAGGCATCTGGTACGAGCCTGTACGGTAGTAGACCACATCCGCGGGGAGAAGGCCGAAGTAGAGGGGGAGGAGTGCGTACGGCAGTAGCACTCCCTGGTGCAAGGAATCGGGCTTGGCTAGACCGCTTGCGGGGATTCGAGGGAGATGGCCAGGGGAAGGAGGAAGAGGGCGGATGTCGGCATGGATGGAGATGAGGATCGAAGGAGGAGGAGGAGGCTGGGTGATCAACAGGTGAGCAGGCACGGGTCGGCAGAGAGGGCGCAGTGGGTCACGTGCATGGTCACGTGCCCAAGGAGCGCGGCGTCCCCTGACAAATGGGCGTGAAGATGTTCTCATAAGGGTCGAAGAGTTGTCATTGGGGATATGGAAGGCGCTCGTCTTTGGGTTTGTAGCGATGGATGAGATAATCCCAGTGTCCGGCTTCGAGCGTTGGCAGGAGGCAAATGCGTGTGTCTGGGTTGAATTGTTTCCTCTGCCAATCTCTCAGGACCTTCTTTGCATGGGTAAGGTGACGTGATGGTTCCCAAGTATTTTTGCTATGCGGCCATCCCTTCCATTTGACCAAGTACTGTTTTCCTTGGCCGACGTTTCGCTCTTTCACAATTTCTTTGACTTCCCACTCTTTGGCTCCTCCAATCATCTTTGCCACGGGTCTCTTCTCTCGGCGATGGGGGGATGGTTCGTGATAGGGTGTCAACAGTGACTCGTTGAACACCGGGTGCCTTCGGTCCGTGTCTGGCAAATCCAGCTTCCATGCAGCCGCTCCAACCTTCTCCAGTATCTCGTATGGCCCCAATCTCTTGTCGCTCATCTTCTTTGATGGTCTATCCGTCTCGATATTTTCCCCTTCTATGTACACCTTCATCCCAACCTTCAACTCCGGAACTTCTTTTCTTTGTTTATTGTAGTATTTTTTCATTTTTCATTTGCTTTTTCCAATGCTGCTTTTGCTTTGTCTTGTATTTCTTTGATTCTTTTTACAAACTCCTCTGCCGACTCGTTTCTCGATTCCATCCGTTGCTCCACTCCCTTCCATGGGTGATATCCGTGATTAGCATAGAATGGCGACATTTTGGTAGACGTGTCCATCTTGTCGTTATATGCGAACTCTGCCATTCCCAGCCACTCCGACCAATCTGTCTGATGGTAATTGACATAGATGCGGAGATAATGCTCGATCTCCTGATTCATGCGTTCCGTTTGCCCATCTGTGATCGGGTGATATGCGGTCCCCCGATTCATTTCCATGCCCAACATCTGATTTGTCTCCTTCATGAAGCCTTTGATGTAACGTGAATCCCTGTCGGTGATGATCTTGCGGGGGATCCTGTTGAACACAGAAAACTCAGATGGGAGCCGCAGGAGGCTAGGGGCACAGATGGGAGGCAAAAAGCCCAGTCTGTCACATTGATCTAGGGCTATGTACTGATGGTCACATAGCTAAGTGTCACTCTTTTGTCTGAACCAAGCAAGACATTCTTTCCACACTTCAACAGATCCCGTGGTAGCGGAAGACTCGGTCCCTGGTTAATCGTGCGACTCCTTCACTGCTGATGTCAGTACTAATTGGTTCGACATGGATCATTTTGGTGAAGGTGTCACACCACACATGGATTGCGTCATACCCATTACTGACCGGTAAGGGTCCGATTTGATCCATTGAGATGATTTCCCACAGCGCATTTGGGACTGCATGCAGGTGCAGAGTCCCTGTCCTTGCTCTCCTGGTCTTGGTCCATTGGCACACCTCGCACGTCTGGATGTATTTCCAAATTTGGTTTCCCATCCTTGGCCACCAGTAGTTCCTTTCCACCATCTCCTGCGTTCGGTTGATCCCAGCATGTCCAACCAAAGGTGTGTCATGGTGTAGCCCAATGATCTTGTCTCGCAGTTCCTCGTCCCTCGGTACGTAGAGCTTCCCATGGTACGTGATGAGCCCGTCTTCCTTTTTCCATCCAGCGAGTGACTTCTCCAAGGCCGCCTTGACGCTTCCATCAATTGATCAAGTGGCCTTGATCTCATCAACTAGCTGCTGATCTTGTTCCTCGAATGTGACTTCTTGCGATCGGAAGAACTCGGGCTTTAGTAGTGTGACGTCTTTGTGGTCATTCTTGCCCTGATCATGATCTGCTTGTTGAGACAAGAGGTCCGCCTTGCGGTTGAGTGCGCCAAGCCGGTGTCGTAAGGTGAAATCAAACTCCGCCAACTCCGTGATCCATTGTGCTTGCTGTTGATTGAGCTTCTGCAGTTTTTGGAAGTACTCAAGATTTTGATGATTGGTGAAGATCTCGAATGTTTCTGTGGCTCCTAGTAGTAACTGCCTCCATTTATCCAATGATAACATGATCGCGAGCATTTCCTTGTTGTAGATTTCATAATTTTGCTCAGTTTCTGTCAACGCATGTGAAATAAATGCAATTGGGCACCAAATGTGTTGAAGCAGGAAATGCAGAGAGAACTGGAGTCAACAGTAAGAAGCTCTGCATTGCAAGACAAGACAAGAAAAGAATCTACAGACCTGGAGTCAACAGTAAGAAGCTGAAGAACTCCAGGGAGGCAAGAACTATCTATGTGGATGGAGCATGTGACTGTACAGAAATCATGTGACTTGGAGTCATGTGACTAAAATGATGGAATATTGGGAACAGTGATAGAATCAGACAGCATCAGTGATGTGATCAGTGATAGGATCAGATGGAATCAGATGATCATGTGACCCAATCACCAGAGAGTGATCAAGTCCAAAACCCATCCTCAACAAAATGTTGTCTTGTTTTTAGCTCAAAACGGATCCTGTTGCCCCTTCCGAAGCATTGGCTTCCACACAATATTGGCCGGTGTCGTTTGGCAGTGCTAAGACCGCATCCTCCGCGATTCTCTTCTTCAATCCATCAAATGCTGCACGCTCATCCGTACCCCATGACCATCCTGCTTTCCCTGTCAGCCGTGTCAACGGCTTGGCGACCTCCGCGTATCCCCAGACAAAGTGTCGATAGAAGTTTGTGAACCCTAGAAATGCTTAGACTTGTTTGACGCTCTTTGGTTCCGGCCATTCCATCACGCCCTTGATCTTGACTGGGTCCATCTGCATCAAATTGTGTCCAATAATTACACCCAAATATTCGATTTCCGTGCGTTCGAATTCGCACTTTTTGGGCTTCAGGGATAGCTTGTGTTTCTGGAGCAATTTGAGCACTTGTTTTGTGATCCGCCAATGTTCGTCCAAGTTCTCTGTGAAGATCAGTATATCATCCAGATAGACTACCACGTGACCCTCATTGATCAACTCTCGGAGTATGTCGTTCATCATGTTTTGAAACGTTGCCGGGGAATTCATGTGACCAAAGAACATAACTAAGGGCTCGTACAGCCCACGGTTCGTGCGGAATGCAGCCTTCCACCCGTCGCCCTCTTTGATCCGTACATTGTTATATCCCCACCGGATGTTGAGCTTGGTGAAGAACTTTGTGCCGCATAGATTATGGACCAGTTCAGAGATCAGCGGCAGCGGGTATCGATTTCGGATTGTCATCTCATTCAGCTTCCGATAATCTTGGACGGGACGTAGCGAACCATCCTTCTTTTTGACAAAGAAGAATGCTGAAGCCATGGGTGATTTTGATGGTCTAATCTGTCCGCTGGCCAGGTTTTCTTGCAAGAACTCGTCGAGCTTGACCTGCTCGTTCCGCGATAACGGGTACACCTTGCAGTCCACTGCTTTGGAACCAGGTTTGAGCTCAATTGCATGATCCCATGCCCGCCGGTCTGGTAGCAAGTTGAACGATTCCTTGGCAAATACCTTAACAAATTCCCGATATTGATCTGGAATCTTTCCCTTGGTCATTCTCTCCTTCTCCTTTTCTGCTTCTTCTGCAAATTTCTGTGCCGGCGTTTCCTTCAGCCGCAGATCCACCTCCTTTCCAAAGTCGACCAACAGGATCGATTCTCCCTCTTCCAGATCCGGTGTGCCTGTGTCCAGGTCGATTGCATCCATGTCAATCATTGCTTGATGTTCCTTGTGACCCCTCATGTGACACCACTCTGGGCATCGGCTGAATCTCATGGTCTGCTCCTGCCAATCCACCTCGGGGTTGTGTTCCATCAGCCAATCAAGACCAATGAAGATCCGGGCTTTCCCTAAGCACGTCAGAAGGAATGTGCATGTCTCCACATGAGGACTGATTCTCATCCTTAGGTTGATATAATGTGTGATCCGACCGCTGATGTTCTTGGTGCTGTCGGCATTACGAGCCACTATGGGTTGCGGAAGCTCTTGGATATCTAGCTTCTCTGCCCGCGCGTAGTCAGTATCGATGCAGCAGGTACTGCAGCTGCTATTGAGCAGCGCCTTGACTCCGCGCATTTTTCCTGAGTCCAGACCCGTGATCTGGACATATACGTCCATTGAATGCCTCTTTCTTTTGGCCTGGTAACTGCACAATTCCTGCGCCAATCTGTTGGGCTGGGGGCCCTTCTGTTTCTTGGCCACCAATTTTCTCTGGATGGCATCTGGCGCCCTGGTGCATTTGGGTGCTTCTGGAACCTTGATTATGGCAGATTCCTTAGGCACTTCCTCCTTTTTCAAGGATTGAGCCTCCGAAGCGATGCTCCCCTTTTCGGTTTTTGTTGACGTGGTTCCTTCTCCACAAGCCATAAATACGTAGGAGTTCAAAATTAATTTATCTGCAGCCTTCTGATCCTTTTTATTCTGTAAATACTCTCTATTGAAAGCTATTTTTCTTTGGCGTTCCTTTTCCATATCGGCAATGAGAAAATTGCGAATATTAGTACAGTAGAGTTGTTAATAAGGAATAAAGTTGGGAAGGGTCCTGGCATATTCCTTACCACGGGTATTCCGTATCACATATTCCATTAAAAAATGTATAAAATGGTCGTTTTGGTGTATCTGCGGCTTCTACTTGAAGTACTGACTGAGTTCCGTCTGTTTCTTGCCCTGTTCAATCTCCTTGGTGAGCCCAACGTGCATTTTACGAAGTTGAGGGCCAAGGGTCAGCGTCGAGTCGAGATCAGGTCGGTGTCGAGCGATCTGCTCCAGGAGCTTTATTGCCGCGATGGCTTCCTTCTTATCAAACGAGAATTCGGGCTCCTCCTCCTCCTCGATCTCGGCCTCGAGCTCCTCCTGATCAACCCTGCGCATGTGTTGAATGATCTCATTTGTGTTGTCTCCATCCGCAAAGCCGAGAACACTGGATCCCGGCTCTTGTCGTTCAATGAGTGGATCCAGAATGTCGTCGAGCGAAGGCAAGATTCCGCGGATGCAGCGCTCCGGGGCAAGTGTTTGAATGGTGTCAGACAGCGCATCCTCGGCCGCGCGGAGATGGCGATCGCAAGCAAATCAGCGCAGAGGACCCTTGGCAGCAGCTTCAGTCTGAGCGGCCATGAGATCCCGAACGGCAAGCTCAGCCTTGATTGAATCGCCTTCGCAGGCCATGACAGCGTCAAGAGGCGCATTCCAGTCCTTGGGATAGTAATCCGTGCCAAGAACGCGTTCAAGCCCATGTTCTGCTTGTGGTAACGACATTTCGGTTGTTGCGAATTCCAAGATCACATCCCAGGCATCACTGTTGGCCTTTGCTGATGCCGGCTTCTCTGGCGACGCTGCTGGCTTGTCCATTTTAGGTTCCTCGGACTCAGAGTCGGAACTGTCAGGCGCATTGGGATCAACAAAGATTTCTTCCCATTCGTCCGTTTCCTTGGGTGTGATTTTGGTGTGAGTCCAGCAATTGGCAATGGTTGAAGGCGTGACATGATTCCACGCATTCTCTAGCATTCGCATACCACTGAGAATATCAATCTTGAAAGGCTGAGGATCATTGGACTGATAGAGATCGAGTGCTCGGATGGCCAATGCGCGGCGATAATGAGCTTTAAGACATCGAATAATTCCAGCATCACATGGTTGCACAAACGACGTCATGTTGGGCTCCAGGAACTCGACGCAGATGTGGCTCGGCTTGTAAGTCATCGCAACATGTCCCGGACAATTGTCAATCAAGAGCAGAATGTGTCGCTTCTGGCGCCGCATCCGATCATTGAGCTTTCGCATCCATTCGGTCCACAGCTCTGCCGTCATCCAGGCCTTAGCGTTGTTGCGGTAATAAAGTGGTGGGTCCATGTTTGCTGGATTGACTCCTCGGAATACGCGAGGCTTCTGCGATTTCCCAATGAACATGAGATCAAGCTTCTCTGTTCCAATCGAGTTGCACGCCACAAGAGCAGAAATGCGAAACTTGTCCCGTTTGGTTCCGCTCATGTGTGTGGTGCACAGCGTGCGATCCGGGGGCAAGGATGGGAAGAAACTGGTCTCATCCGCATTCCAGATGTTCTCGGGGGCGTAACGGGAGGTGAGTCTAACCAAGCGCTTGCGTTCAACTTCAACAGCTGCCAGATCAACAGAGCCAGCCTCGCCGTGTCTGCGTCTCTCAGACAGACCATGACTGCAATTGAAATCAGCACTGTTAGGGAAAATGAAAAGATGAACACACGCTTTCTTGAACGACTCGAGCCATCCTGTTCCTCTCAGGCGACGCTCTTCAGGAACATTCAGAGCAATCTCGAGCCTCTTCCGTTGCTCGATCAACATGGCACCTGTCACAGCACGATTCTTTTGTTCCATATCAAGTGCCCAGAGACCAAGGCCCCGATCAACTTCGGGTGAAGTGACAACGCGCTCACGCTTGAGCGAAAGTGCGGCAGAGTTTTCAGCAGCAAGTTTTAGAAGGGCAGCCTTCTTCTCCGGATTGAGGTGTTTTGAAAGTGCGCCCTGGGTGAAGAATAGCTTCCCTCCCTCGGCATTAGATCTCGAGGCAAAGAATTCCATGACAGCTTTCTGCTTTGTCCCCGGATTTTTCTCAGCATACTGGATAACCTGCAGCCAGTCATAATTTGTGAGATTTTTGCGCCCTTCCTGCCCCAGAATAGCAGATGAGCGATGGGTTCCGTTAAGCTTTGGGCCAGGCTTCACGCGGGTAGCAGCTTTAGCACGTGCCTCAGTGGGATCACGGTCCCGAGCGCGGACAACACGAGATTTTGCAGTAGGCTCAACAGGCATAATGGATGGTATGGATGAGGGAGAACCAAAATTCAGGGCTCATGCATTATATTCTCACTTACAGGACTCATTGTTCGCCCAAAAAGCCATTCCAACCTGTCAGAGAACACCTGCCATCACCCCTAATAAGGAATATCCCCGCGACAGAAATCACCTGGCCGTATTCTTTATTCCGGACGACAAACAATGGAATATTACTGCCTTCCCAACATAGGAAGGCCGATTTTCTATTCCTTATCACGGATATTCCACATCACATTATTCCTTATTAACAACTCTACTGTATGTAGTGAATCCGAGATTGTGTATGTATGTGTAGAATCGTTCATGTCTTTTTTATCGAAACAAGTACAGAAAATTGTCTATAGTCTAGACGCTCCACCTCCTTGGCTAGAGGAGTGGAGCGCTTCAAAAGCCTTCTCCTGCAGCTTCTCAGCGATCTCCTTGAGGAACTCGTTGTTCTTGTCCCCGTTCTTGATCTCTTCAAGCATTGTGGCCCTGTTGAAGAATGTGTGCTTCTTCCTCGGTTCCAGACAGTTTCGCGCAATGTGTGTTGAACTCAGAAAACACAGATGGGAGCCGCAGGAGGCTAGGGGCACAGATAGGAGGCAAAAGGCCCAGTCTGTTACATTGATCTAGGGCTATGTACTGATGGTCACATAGCTAAGTAACACTCTTTTGTCTGAACCAAGCAAGACATCCCTTCCACACTTCAACACTCCCACCATTGGGAAGACAAAAGCAATCAAACAGAACACTCCCACCAAATCCAAGGCCACTCCCACCCAATCTAAGTCCGTCTTGGAGACAGAAATGGTCCACTAGGCCCACCACCAATCTCCGCTTCATTGGACATCTGGAACTCATGCCACATCTCAAAGAAGCTCTCCCTGGTCAGACCTGCCTCTAGTGCAGCAGAGAAAGCTGCAGAAGCAGAGCTGCTCTTGCCATTAGCCAGGATCCAGTCCTTCACAAAGGTGGGCATGGTGTGCCTGCACTTGTGAGCAATGTGGCCAGTGCGTCCAGAGCGATGGCAGCCCCTAGTGGTAGGGTCACACCATGTTGATAAAATGGCTGAACCAGGAATTGAACCTGGGACCTCTGACTTGGATCGTCCAGTGCTCTAACCACTGAGCTATTCTGCCTTGGTGCTGGGATTCCCAACTCCAACACACCAACGAAAACCTTGGGAATCCAGTGGAAATCCGTCTTGGGCAATGCTGCCAGTGATAGAGGAGGTGTATGATGATGTGGCAGATGCTGTGCCTTGACGTGGCACCGATGCAGCCAGGGCCAGGCTCGAAATATCGCCATCTTCGATTTTGAGAACCACCCCAGGGTCTGAGCTGTTGATGTGTGGATATTGTGTGTGCTTGGTTTGGACAAAGGGTGTAATATTACTCTGTGACGCATAGTATATAGCATCAGATCAATGTGACCTACTGGGCTTTTCGCCTCCCATCTGTGCCCCTAGCCTCCTGCGGCTCCCATCTGTGTTTTCTGTATTCAACAGGTTATGGGCCCCGCTCTGACCTATCTTTAACCCCTCTTCTTGTTGAAGCAGGAAATGCAGAGAGGACTGGAGTCAACAGTAAGAAGCTCTGCATTGCAAGACAAGACAAGAAAAGAATCTACAGACCTGGAGTCAACAGTAAGGAGCTGAAGAACTCCAGGGAGGGAGGAACTATCTATGTGGATGGAGCATGTGACTGTATAGGAATCATGTGACTTGGAGTCATGTAACCAGAATGATAGAATGATGGGAACAGTGATGGAATCAGATATCATCAGTGATGTGATCAGTGATAAGATTAGATGGAATCAGGTGATCATGTGACCCAATCACCAGAGAGTGATCAAGTCCAAAACCCATCCTCAACACTCCCCCGGGATGAGATCAGTCTCTCAGCCTCTCCCCCGCAATCTCATCAGTGTGCGCAACCTTGCCACCTGAGGCCGAGGCAACGCCTTGGTCAAGATGTCAGCCAGCTGGTCCTGTGTCGGCACATACTTCACATCAATGAACCCTCTGGCCACTTCATCTCTGAGCCAGTAGTGCGCAAGGTCCAGATGCTTCATACGCCCATGGTGCTCAGGATTCTTGGACACAGATATGGCAGACTGGTTGTCCATCATCAATGGAGAAGCCCCAGACACACCATGCTCCAGCTCATGCAGCAGATTCCGCATCCACTTGATGTCCTTCCCAGCATCCACACCAGCCACATACTCTGCCTCAGTAGTGGACAGAGAGATGGTGGACTGCAGATTGCTCCTCCAGCTCACTGGTCCACCCGCCATCATAATGACATACCCCCCAGTGCTTTTCATGGAGTCCTTGTCTCCAGCATGATCAGCATCAGTGAAGGTGTTGAAGAGGTCGTCAGGATGGATGTGGGTGGCAGGGTCATAAAGGGTGGGAGAGAATTTGGAGTAGGTGATGCGGAAGTCAAGGGTGCCCTGGATGTATCAAAGCAGGTGCTTGACAGCCTTCCAGTGCCCTTCACCAGGATTGCTGTTGAAGCGCGCTAGCACCCCCACAGCATAGGAGATGTCAGGACGAGTCTGACAGGCCAGGTACATCAGAGAGCCAACAGCAGACAGATAGTTGCCCTTGAACTGCTTGGACTCCTCCTCAGTCTTGGCTCCCATCTCCTTGGTCAGAGACAGGCCAGGCAGCATGGGGGTGTCCACAGGCTTGCAGTCAGCCTGTTGAGAATGGGTTTTGGACTTGATCACTCTCTGGTGATTAGGTCACATGATCATCTGATTTCATCTAATCTTATCACTGATCACATCACTGATGATATCTGATTCCATCATTGTTCCCGTCATTCCATTATTCTAGTCACATAATTCCTATACAGTTACATGCTCCATCCACATAGATAGTTCCTCCCTCCCTGGAGTTCCTCAGCTTCTTACTGTTGACTCCAGGTCTGTAGATTCTTTTCTTGTCTTGTCTTGCAATGCAGAGCTTCTTATTGTTGACTCCAGTCCTCTCTGCATTTCCTGCTTCAACAGGTTATGGGCCCCTGCCTCTAGAGTGCCTCTGAGTCATCTATTCTGAGATTTTCGAGTTTTTTCCATTCTCTGATTTTCTCTGCCTGCTGCTGCCTGCTTGCCCCAGTCCTGCTACTGCAGTTGACATATCTGCTCCCCTCTGTTCTGTTTTTTCTGCTCTTATAGTGTCTGTGGTTCAGGCACTAGTAGTTGGGACTCTATCTTTAAGTGGGTGTGCTCTTTGGTCCATCAGGAAACACCAGGTAGTCATTCCTGTGATCCTGAGGTTGAGACAGCTAGGTGCCTGAGATCAACACACTCCTGAGAGCCTGTACCTACCTACATACATCCCCTACATCATTCTGGGCGCATTTTTGAGCACAGCATGGCATCAGATTCCCACACTCTTCTCCCAGTTCTCCATAAGGAAACTGTCTTCTCTGATTGGCAGAGTGATGCCAAGGCCTATCTCAGAGGCAAAGAGGTGTTTGTGTACTGCACTGCCACCTTTGATGCAGCCAAGCATGAGGAAGTCAAGAAGGACAAGTGTGCTGGCATCTTGTGGAGCATGCTCTCCCCTGATGTTAGGTCCCTAGTGCGTCAGCATGAGGATGATCCCAAGGCCTTATGGGCTGCATTGCCTGCAATCTTTGCACCCAAGCAGGCTGGGCAGCGCTTCAATGCCTATAAAAACCTTACCTCCATCAGACTCAAGGAGGGTGAGGGCTTGCTAAGCCTTGTGGGTCGTGTATCTGAGGCTGTGCGCTTCCTCAAAAGCTCTAGGCCTGATTCCTTCACACTGGATAAGGCTGATGAAGAGCTGCATGCTGTGGTTCTCCTCATGGCCTTGCCTGATTCTGAGCCTGCTTATGCAACTCTGAAGGCTCCCTTTGAGCAATCCCATGATGCTCTCAAGGTGGCTGCCATTGAACAGGCCTTTACCTCATGGTCTGCTTTCAGGGCAGCAGGCAATGCAGGAGACTCTGGGCAGAGCAATCCTCTGTCTGGAGCTGCAATGATCACTTCTGCCAATCCTCCTTCTGCTGCACTGGAGGCTGCCTCTGGTCCCTCCCAGCCTTGGTGTGCTGCGTGTCGAAAGCGTGGTCACACTATTTTGAAGTGTCCAGAGTTCCTTGCACTTCTCAAGGGCAATACTCCCAGGGCTGGGAATGGAAAAGGAGCAGCCAAGTCCGAAGTGGCCACCAATGCAAGTCTTCTCTCTCACACAACTTCCAGTACTGATTTGCGATGGATAGCAGACTCAGGCGCCACATCGCACATGACGCATTGTGTGCACCTGCTGCAAAATACACGCCCTCATAGGGCGCCCATCAAAGTCGCAAATGGAGTTGTTGTTTATTCCGAACTTGTGGGGGAGATAGTACTTAGGCCACTGATCCATGGACATGCCAGGAGCCGGTCTGTGATCCTCTCCAATGTGCTCTATGTCCCTGCTCTGTCACACAATCTGATCTCCACTACATACCTGTCAGTTCACCATGACTACACTGTGCTCATGAAGGAAAACTACATCCTGTTCAAGCGCAATGGTGAAGTGTACTTTGTGGCAGACATCTCAGAGCAGGGTCAGGCCTTTGTGAGAGAGACTGGTTTCCCTTCTGGTGGTTCAGCACTGGTCTCTACAGCTGGGACTCTTCCCATTGACCTCAGCCTGATGCACAGGCGGCTTGGACACCACAGTGATACCAAGCTAGTCATGGATAAAGAGCTGGTTACTGGTGTGAGGCTTGCCTCTGCCAGGAAGCCAGACCCCATCTGTGAGCCATGCCTCTTTGGCAAGCTGAATGCTGGCCTGTTTCCCTCAACTGGTCATCGTTCTGGAGCGCCTCTTGATCTTATTCACTCTGATCTAAAGAGCTACTCTGTGCCTACCCGTGAGGGCTGGAAACACAGGGTGACTTTTGTTGATGATCACACTGGCTTCAAGGTAGCATACCACATGAAGAACAAGAGTGAGACCTTTGCAGCCCTTGAGA